TTATTATAGCAGCCTGCACTGCAAACTGTGCTGAAGATACGCGTCATCAAAGTCAGGCAACACAAACCTGCGTCATGATTTGAAACGATATCACTCATTAGAACATGCAGAAACTAAGAAATTAATTTTTTTCTATTAAGATAATTGTTTTAAGGAAAAATGACTGGAAAAGTGTAAAATTCAAAAACGTGTTCTGACCATAAAGAGTAGTTTAAAACCACAATTAACTTTCACTTAGGAGCAAAAATCTGCCTTTAAACATGAAAGAAATGAGGATTTGAAATGAACCGTGATAATTATCGTTATCGACTGATGTGAAAAACTTTATCGTGATCAATTTTTGTCCATATCACACATTACTAGGTCCACCTCACCTGCAGTAGCTTATGTTCCAGTGTGGCTAACTCTAAATAATGTGTCTCTTCACGTGACACGCGGTCCAAACGGTCCCTCACTTCCTTCAGCCGAACTTGGAGAGCCTCCAGGCTGGTGTGAGCTTCTCTGACGATTCCTCTGGCGACCATGAAGGCCTTTTCGGCCTAACAGCAAAACATAATTCAGATTATACTCACATTTAAATGAATCCAAGAGTAAGTATGTTTACATGCACTCATTTTTTTTGTCAATCGGAATGAATTGAAAAGGAATTTTGAATCCGATTGAGAAGCAGGGACGGGTCTACATGGTGGCCCCCATTGAAATATGGTTGGCCACCCCAAGTGTCAACACCACCTTATCTAATCCGATCGATTTTCATTCAGCTCGAGCTCAATCGAAGTATTTACATGAATGCTTTTCAATCCGATTGAACCATCAATCTAATTGCTAATGGATTATTTGGATGCATGTAAACGTGTCTACTGAAAGGTGCGTCTTTTCTGGGTCATCTGTCATACATTACCTCTGTGACATTGGACTGAGCATCTCGGACTTCATTAAGCCCGACAAACTCCTCATATCTCTCCCACCAGTAGTTGACGCTCACTGTTGTGGTGTTCACCGCATTTCGGCCCCACTGCCTTCCCAGCTCTCCAGCATATGTTAACGCAGACGCTGTGCGCTCCTTAACGGATGTAATTTTATTTGGCTCATCTTTGGGACTTTGCTGCTGGGTGCAATAGCTTCTGTGGAGGTTCCACTGGACCGGACCGGACACCTGGTGTTGGTGGAGGCGCTTGGAAATACAGTGTTCCCTCTGAACCTCATTGAAGAGCCTCATATGTGGGGCCAACTCACGTCAAATATGCAACCTGTAAACATACTTATTTGCTTGCCGTTTAAACCACCAACTCGTGTTTTGGGTCCACAGTGGTGACGTAAAATGATTATTTTTTTTAGTTTATAGTTCTCTTATATTTTGTAGAGGAATAAAGTTTGTAGTGACTGTAAATTTCAATTTCAGATGTTTAATGTCTTTGTGAAACATTCATATGACAGTCAAAGCTCATGAAAAATAACTGTACAATATCCAAACATTTCAAGTCTCATGTAAACAATCACAGAAGTGTTAAGCTTATCTTCATCTGATGATCTCCACACTTTTCTTGTCCACGAATGTTCCATCTCACAATATCATCTTTGTTCAACCTAAACAAAAAAACTTGATGTTATTGTTTCTTTTTGTTATATAGTATTCGTCATTGAGTTGCTCTTCATGTGTCTTACGTTGACGTTTAAGCAGTTTTTTCTTCAGTTCCACTTCTACTGGATAGTGGTCTGTGTTGGATAATAAATCTGTGTTTAAGAAGAATACTCAACCTGTCCTCAAAAAAAACTCTGTAATCTACAGTTCAGTAATAACGTTTTGGTAAGTGTGATTAAATATCAGTTCAAATGTAAAATTATTCTTGTTTACGTCCTCCTTTTTCAGTTTGTAGGCCTTCTGGAAGTTGAACGGTTTTGCACAATTCAGAACAACACCTTTCAGCATATCGTCTATGTACCACGATCCTGTGCATGAACACGTCACATTAATGAGAATGACTCGAAATCATATTTGTTGTTTTTTTTACACTGATTAATTACCGGTCATAAGTGTTGTTGTTTCTGGTGCTGGTTATGGTGTCCACGTCATCCGTGATCAGCCAGTGGAAGTTCTTGTCACTCCTGATGTGGATTGTTTTCATTTAATTATCAGACACGTAACTGCCGTCTGCATTGAAGTCCCCCAAAATCATGATGTTCTGTATGGATAAGCACATTTTTGTTTTATAAAAAAACTTTTTAATTATATATATTATATTACAAACTTGGTTAGGTTGTTTGTAAATGCAATAATACGTGGCATGTCATTACACTGTGTTCACCCAAAAATTTAAATTTGTTTAAAATGTATTTACACTCAGGCCATCCAAGATGTAGATGAGTTTGTTTCTTCATCAGATTTGTTAGCCGTATTAAGAAATTTCACATTTTAATGGGAGGGTTGGTGTCTCTTTGTAATGTTACACTGAAAATCTATTTAAAACTCATCATTAATTGTAATAAATGTGTATATTAAACATTTTTTGTCAAATGTATTATTTTTATTTATTGATGTTATAATGGTATCCAAATACTTATTTATGCAGGAGGTAAAAAGAAACCCCTCAAGGCTGCCAAAAAGCAGTCGAAGGATATGGACGATGTAAGTTAAGTTCACTTGTACATCGAGGTTTCTGCTGAAGTGTTTCTACATAAACACTGAGAATACAGATAAGCTGCTTAGAGTGAAGTAATGACTAGGGAAATTCAGAAATAATGCTTTGTGCATTTTCATTACCCGTACCTACAGGAGGACATGGCTTTCAAACAGAAACAGAAAGAGGAGCAGAAAGCAATGGAACAGTTGAAAGCCAAGGCTACTGGAAAAGGACCTTTAAGTAAGAGACATAAAGCCACCACACAATCTTTCTATATAGTTTTTGTGTTTTTCCACACAACAAGCAATTCTGTTTTGTTTTCTTTCCGTAGCTGGAGGTGGCATCAAGAAGTCTGGGAAGAAATGAATGTGTTTTAGTGTATATTTGCTTGCCGTTTAAACCACCAACTCGTGTTTTGGGTCCACAGTGGTGACGTAAAATGATTATTTTTTTTAGTTTATAGTTCTCTTATATTTTGTAGAGGAATAAAGTTTGTAGTGACTGTAAATTTCAATTTCAGATGTTTAATGTCTTTGTGAAACATTCATATGACAGTCAAAGCTCATGAAAAATAACTACAATATCCAAACATTTCAAGTCTCATGTAAACAATCACAGAAGTGTTAAGCTTATCTTCATCCGATCTCCACACTTTTCTTGTCCACGAATGTTCCATCTCACAATATCATCTTTGTTCAACCTAAACAAAAAAAACTTGATGTTATTGTTTCTTTTTGTTATATAGTATTCGTCATTGAGTTGCTCTTCATGTGTCTTACGTTGACGTTTAAGCAGTTTTTTCTTCAGTTCCACTTCTACTGGATAGTGGTCTGTGTTGGATAATAAATCTGTGTTTAAGAAGAATACTCAACCTGTCCTCAAAAAAAACTGTAATCTACAGTTCAGTAACAACGTTTTGGTAAGTGTGATTAAATATCAGTTCAAATGTAAAATGATTCTTGTTTACGTCCTCCTTTTTCAGTTTGTAGGCCTCCTGGAAGTTGAACGGTTTTGCACAATTCAGAACAACACCTTTCAGCATATCGTCTATGTTGAGTTGCTCTTCATGTGTCTTACGTTGACGTTTAAGCAGTTTTTTCTTCAGTTCCACTTCTACTGGATAGTGGTCTGTGTTGGATAATAAATCTGTGTTTAAGAAGAATACTCAACCTGTCCTCAAAAAAAACTCTGTAATCTACAGTTCAGTAATAACGTTTTGGTAAGTGTGATTAAATATCAGTTCAAATGTAAAATTATTCTTGTTTACGTCCTCCTTTTTCAGTTTGTAGGCCTTCTGGAAGTTGAACGGTTTTGCACAATTCAGAACAACACCTTTCAGCATATCGTCTATATATTTTGTAGAGGAATAAAGTTTGTAGTGACTGTAAATTTCAATTTCAGATGTTTAATGTCTTTGTGAAACATTCATATGACAGTCAAAGCTCATGAAAAATAACTACAATATCCAAACATTTCAAGTCTCATGTAAACAATCACAGAAGTGTTAAGCTTATCTTCATCCGATCTCCACACTTTTCTTGTCCACGAATGTTCCATCTCACAATATCATCTTTGTTCAACCTAAACAAAAAAAACTTGATGTTATTGTTTCTTTTTGTTATATAGTATTCGTCATTGAGTTGCTCTTCATGTGTCTTACGTTGACGTTTAAGCAGTTTTTTCTTCAGTTCCACTTCTACTGGATAGTGGTCTGTGTTGGATAATAAATCTGTGTTTAAGAAGAATACTCAACCTGTCCTCAAAAAAAACTCTGTAATCTACAGTTCAGTAATAACGTTTTGGTAAGTGTGATTAAATATCAGTTCAAGGTGATGGCGTGCCTCGGTGCCTGGAGGTATGCGCGACGGTGACGCGGGAGGGCCGGCGGCCCCGAGTTGCAGCCGCGGGCTCAATTATGGTGTCCTGCGGAGCGCTGGTGTGCTGGACGGCGACTGTAGACGCCGGAGGACCTGTGGTGTCAAACTCATTGTCGTCCGGGAAAAGTTCGATATCTGACATTGCGGCGATTGGATGTGCCAATGCTAAAGACAGGAGATAATGGAGGTAAGGCTGCTTTGATTATTTATAGAGGTTCTCTCTTGTGCTGATTGGATAGATGGTGTAATTACTGATGATGAACTGGCCGTGTTAATTATCTGCGCTCGCTCCTCCCGAAACTTGTTAATAAAACATCACTTGTTTTATTTGTTTTTGACTGTCAACTGCATAAACTGGGAATTGAGTTATTACACAATACAATACACAAAAAAACACATTTCCTTGCAGCATAAATTCAAAGTCAGGGCCAGTAAAATTACACTGCATTGTGCATTAATGTGCCAAAATCATGAGATTCTTTCACCAATGATGTTACACATGATAATATGTTGTACTTTACCTGTTTTTGAATCGCAGAACATATGGTTCTCTGGCAAAAGCATCTTCATCTCCAGACTGATCGTCTTTGTATTGGTAAGACCCAACCAAATCCACCAGGTCGTCCCTTTATATTTAAAACAGACCATGTAGTTAAGAAAAGAACAAAACAACAACAACCTGAAGAGTTAGTCTTTTAATATTTAAACCTTTATTTCCCCTGAGGTCCACCTGTAATGTTTGCACAAAGTTTTTGTGCTAATACAGTAATAAATTTGTTTTTATGACCTTTTATCACCCTCTGTCTGATCTTTAGAATTCCAGCCTGTTTTATGTTTTTATTGTCACTGTGCCTTTAAGACTATGTAAACAATGCTCAAAGTGAATGGGCAGGGCGATCATTTAGAATTAGAGCCATTGACAAATGTATTTATTTATCAGACATCAGAAATTGGCAGACATATAGACACTATTCCGTGTAGCGCCATTTCCCCATATTACATTTTTGACAGGAATGAAAATGAGACTGAACTACAGTGCGTTCTTGTACTTTTTAACAACGTATCGATTGTTCAGCCGATGAAACATATTTTCAAAAACTTTTAGTAGACAAAAACACCATAAAACAAAGCGAGTTGTGAAAATTACATGTGATCTACTTTTATAAGGGAGAGTGGGGTAAGTCGAGCCAGTTGGTAAGTTGGCCCACCCCCTGTAACTTGGCAACTGTACAGTTTTACTGTCATGTGACCATGTATTTTGGAACCACCCATCATTTCTGCCAGACTGTAAAAAAAGGAGAAACATTTGAAGTAAAAACAAAACTGTTTTTGGCTTGTCAAAGTAAAATTTTAGCATAACAGATGTAATGGCTGTTACATCAAAGCAAATGTATCCAGGTCTAAAAATATTTTTGATGTATATAGGTGATTTAGCAACATATAAAACCATGCAAATCATTTAGTTAAATATTAGCCTGAATTAGTAAGCTATCTGTTTTTTTTTTTTCTTTTCAAAAATGGCAGCTGTGGGGTAAATTGAGCCAGCATTTTAACTCACCCCACCATAAAGCACTGAAGTTAAGTTAAATCTCTTAAGTATAAACTGGTATGACACTGGTTGACACTTTGGTGTTCAACATATTGTTTCAGAAATGCAAACAATTAAAGATTAAAAATTAAACTTCATTTGGTTCTCTTTATGTTATTTAAGTTAGCTCTAAGAAACGAAATATGACTGTAAAAGGAAATTTGTTTTTAAAAGGGGTAAATTATCTTCACAATTTCACAAGGTCAGTTTACACCCAGGAGTCATCTTACCCACTGACTTGGATCAACTTACCCTAACCTGGGGCAAAGTGAGCCACAGTTACACTTTTTTTATAAGAAGGCATATTTTTAGAACCCTTTGTCAAGGACACAGTCTAATAATTTAAAATGATAGGAAATATCCTGAAATTACTTTAGAAATTTTCATTGTACTTCTGCCTCATTTTCCTTATCTTGAGGACCACAAAAGTAAAAAGCGGCTTATCTTACCCCACGCTCTCCTACAATGCGTGCCAGCCAACACCCAGCTAGCAATTTGGTTCCCAGAGCGTTCTGGGAACATTAGTTTCTGGTTATAAAAATAAAATCTCCAAACAACTGTAAGGATTAAAGAAACTCAGATACTTTGATCTCTTGAGAAACAGACAATACAAACATACACGGGCATCTTCGAGACACCCCACAGAGTGGAGGTGCAGGAAACGCCTCTCTCACATATGCATCAATTCCTTTTCATCCCCTTCCTTCCCCTTCCCCATCCACTTGGTTCACTCAGAATGGTCAATAGTATAATGTTCTAATCCACACCACTCCAGTCCAACAATTCATGTCTTGTAAAGTCAAATTACATTTGTAAGAAACAAATCCATCATAAAGGTGTTTTTACTTCAACCACTTAAAATTCCTTTACCCATAATATTGCTTTCACCAGTGAAAAAGTCATCTCATCTGAATCAGGAGAGAAATATGCACAGATTGAGCACCATTTACAAGCAAAAACAGTTCTAGACAAACATGTCGACAGATTTTGATGTGAGAGGAAAACACGGGATGAACTTTATCACTGGAGGAAGTGTTATTATGAATTTTGGCCAGAAGTGACAGTTTGAAGTTAAAATGTCTGAATGATGGATTTGTTTCTTATAAGCGCACATGCTTGTAAGACATTCAAGACATTAACTGATGGACTGGAGTGGTGTGGATTATTGTGATGTTTTTATCAGCTGTTTGGACTCTCATTCTGACGGCACCCATTCACTGCAGAGCATCCATTGCTGAGCAAGTGATGCAATGCTACATTTCTCCAACTCTGTTCCAATGAAGAAACAAACTCATCGACATATTTGATGGCATACATTTTCAGCAAATTTTGTCTCCACCAATGGCTGACTGTCATAAAGGTATTATAGTTTTGCATAATGTTTTACATCAGTCTTCCATTTCATCTTGACATTCTGAAACACATCATACAGTTCGTCAAGTTCCTTCACTGAATCTTCAGGTTTGGTGTGGACGGGCATCAGCACCAAGTCTTCCAACACTGCCAAGACATGAACAAAATTAATAGTAATTACAATAATTTATCTCCACACACACCCTCTGTCACAGCCCAACCTGGGGATTAATGTAAATTACTTAGCCGGCGACATTTCACGAGTTCACACTTACATATAATGAACCGAATAAAGGTTATTCCTTTTCATCCCCTTCCTTCCCCTTCCCCATCCACTTGGTTCACTCAGAATGGTCAATAGTATAATGTTCTACATCAATGCAAATAATATTTACAGTCATGTTTGGTATCATTTGAATAGTCTCAGGGTGACTGGTACAATGGTCTCAATCTTACAAAAGTAGACTAATATAATACCGATCCTAAAAGTTAAGAGATATTTTGATTACTGTAGAGGGTCATTCCATGCAAATTACCTTCTGTTCCCATTGAGGTGTAAACTAGCTACCCAGATCTGGGACCTGGGTTAATGCAAATTCCAATTGTTTGTACATGCGTCCATTTAGGGGATGTTTTATCTTGGTTGTGTATTTAAAG